GTGAGAGACAGTTAATGAGGGTCCCCCTCCTCCCACAGAGGGTGGCTCTGTAAACTGTTTGCTGCCACCCTTCCCGGCTTGTGGGAGGAGGCCCTGCTATGAACCAGTCAGCAAACGTTCGGCCCCTAGCACGTATAAAGCACCGTCCTAGGTGCCACGGGAAACGAAAAGGGGATGGACAGTCAGGCACGCCCAGAGGTGATAGGACAGACTTTATTATGACCCCCTCGAGAGTGAAGGGCCTCTGTGGGGCTTCCCGCTTCCCATTATGTGCGGGCACGAGGAAGGGGAGAGGAAAGGCCACGTCGGGGGTTGCCGTGACACTCTTCTTAGCTAATGGGTCCGCATATCCGTTTCTGTTTCTTTTAAAAGATATGATGAGAAAAAAAAATTCCTCCCTCCATGTGGCGGGAACATGACAGGAACAAGGAGCTCTCCTGACAGGGCTGGGGTGCAGGGGCTGAGGCTCGGCTCTTTCGCACCTCTCGCTCTGGGTGCTGGGCCCTGAGTGGTCGGTGAGCAACACATTGCGGCCCTCACTCAGGACATACAGAGAGACGCCCACGGCCAGCGACCCAGCTTCTTGTGGCTACTTCTCCGAATTCCAAGCCCAGGTGCCCACTTTGCCCTGGAAGGGCTTCCTTATCTTGAGTTGAACATGGCAGGTGTCTCCGGTCCTAGCCGAACCCTGGTGACTCTTGGGTGTATTCATGTCCCTCTCTCCTCTCTGTCCTGTCTTCTCCACCTCGTCTCTGCAGGTTCACCTGCTGAAGGACCAGCTGGCTGCTGAAGCGGCCGCGCGGCTGGAGGCTCAGGCCCGCGTGCACCAGCTCCTGCTGCAGAACAAGGACATGCTCCAGCATGTGTCTCTGCTGGTCAGGCAGGTGCAGGAGCTGGAGCTGAAGCTGTCAGGACAGAATGCTAGTAAGTGGGGGCCCTGCCCAGCCTCGCCTCCTTCCGTGGAGGCGCTGGAAAACGCCCATTCTTTTCCCTGAAGCTTTTGGTGGGGTTTTCTTAGACCCCTGCCCTGCCCTGGTGTTCTAGCAGAAAACAGAGGCGGCTCTGTTTGTCCCGTCCGTACACTTCATGGAATTATGAAACGGCAGAGTCAGAGAGGATCTTGGCTCCTTCTAGTCCAGCGTCCAGACTTGACCTTGAATGTCTCTGGGAGTCACTGCCACATGTTTATCCAGGCTCCTCTCGAAAGGGGCTCAGACACTCCACGTCCTAAGGCAGTCTGTTTCTTTCTTCGTGGGCTTTTCCAGTTGAAATATACTGAGCACCTGTCATGTGTGTCACGTTGTCTGGGAGCTCGGTGGGAGACTTCACACTGTACGGGAGTTTACCCTCCCCCGCGCTGTAGCATAGACCATGCTGGTAGCAGGTGTCTACTCTGCGGATAAGGCAGAAAAGAACTGGCCGGATAGCGGTCCTGGTTCATGGCACAGGTGGCCTGGCGCCTGGCCTGAGATGCCCAGCCGCCTCTGGGCTGGCCTGGGAGTCTAGAAGACAGCACATCTCCAGGCCTTCCTCGTGCTGATCCGTGGCCTGTAAGTGCCAGTCACGTAGCCACTGGCCATCGACCGTGCCAGAAACTGTGATAGAGTTTCACAGACATGATGTCATCTAATCTCTGTAGTCGTAGATGTTGTTATGCCCATTTTGTACACGGGACAGACTCCAATAGGTGAAGTCACTGGCTCAGGGTTACAGGACCAGCAAGGTGTGGAGCCGAGATTCCCGGGTCTGATTGCAAAACCAATGTATTTCCTATGAGACCAGTAGTTCCCTCAGACTATCCCCTATAGCTTTTTTTAAAAAAAATGAATATTCGGGGCACCTGGGTGGCTCAGTCATTGGGCGTCTGCCTTCGGCTCGTGTCGTGATCCCAGGGTCCTGGGTTCGAGCCCCATGTCAGGCTCCCTGCTCGGCGGGAAGCCTGCTTTTCCATCTCCCACTCCCCCTGCTTGCGTTCCCTCTCTCGCTGTGTCTCTCTCTGTCAAATAAATAAATAAAATCTTTAAAAAAAAAAAAAAAGAATATTCCCAAGTCCAACCTGTAGAGGTCATGATCAGTAGGTCTGGGCAGGGCTGCGGCTCTTGCTAAAGTAGCACAAAGGCATAGATTGGGAACAGCCACTGCATTTCACCGCTGGAAGCCTGTCTGGGCTTCTGTCTCTGTTTACGGAGACCCTGCTCTGGCCCTCTCGGTTTGGACCCAGGTTTGGACCCAGCTTGTGTGCCCCCGCCGCGCTGACCCGGCCTCCTGTTGCTCTTGTCCCCCCTCCAGTGGGCTCCCAGGACAGCTTGCTGGAGATCACCTTCCGCTCCGGAGGTCTGCCCGTGCTCTGCGACCCCACCACCCCGCAGCCGGAGGACCTGCCCTCGCCGCCCCCGGGTGCGGGCCTGGCCGAGCTGGCCCACCCCGCCGGCAGCCCCCTAGGTAGGCGCGACTGCCTGGTGAAGCTGGAGTGCTTCCGCTTCTTGCCGCCGCCCGCGGGCCCGCTGCTGGGCGGCCTGGAGCTCCTCAAGTTCCGCGAGTCGGGCATCGCCTCGGAGTACGAGTCCAACACGGACGAGAGCGAGGAGCGCGACTCGTGGTCCCAGGAGGAGCTGCCACGCCTGCTGAACGTCCTGCCGAGGCAGGAGCTGGGCGACAGCCTGGACGATGAGATCGCCGTTTAGGGCGGGCCGGGCGCAGGGGCCGGAGGGAC